TATCAGTTGAAAAATATTAAAAATACATAGGCACAATTTTTTTTATAAGCATTTTAACATCGAATTTTGATAGAATTTTTCAAAATCTCGAAAATTATTAATCATCGTAATTAATAAATTATAAAATGTTCAGTTTTTATAGCTAAGGATTGAAAATTTAAAACAAGATTCCACGTAAGTAGTTAATTCTCTTACCGAAAAATCTAAAAAATATACAATCACAGTTTACTTTTATAGTCATTTTATGTTCAAATTTGGACGAAATTACATATTAAAAAACCTAGTTATTTTGTTGTGATTATATAATATTATTCGTGGGTACCTACTTGAAACTTCTAAAGTGTACTATTATATATATATGATAGTATCAGGGTTTGTTGTTGATGTTGATGTATAACGTGTTATAAGTACCTAATGGATATTGTGATAATGTGATATGATTAATTTGGAATTTATTATAGGTCAATTTTTTTTTTAATACCATAGATATGTATATAATTTGTATTAAACCTAGACTGACATACCGTCTTCGCTCAGAATCGTTTTTCTTATACAATGATATTGTATCATTGAATTCAAATTTAATAGCATCCATTATACAGTGACCCACTTGTAACCTACTGTACAGCAGAGCGACATCCACTTACCCACCTTTTTTATATTATACATTTTATGTGCGTATAGAGAATTATACTCTATAGTCTATACGCATTATGCTCATTTGATTTTTAAACATATTTAAACTCATTCTAAGTTATGGACGTATATGGCCATTAGAATGTTCTACTTATTTTTTTTCAATTTATGTTTATAAAAAGTTTGTTCCAAGAAACAAGTTTGGTATAACTATGTTTAAGGTTCCACTATTATGGTATAATTGTAGCAAATATAAAATATTGAAAATAAACGTGCATAATGTTTGAAGTTAAACTTTTTTGAGATTGGATACCTATCAAAACGACAAAATATAACGATTTATTACTGAATCGATTTTGTTTTCTTGTTATAATAAAAATATACTATTCATAGATACTTTTCATACCATGAAACCACGATTTAAGATAGTATGGTTGCCCATACTATCATACGGCATAAGACTTGAATCCAAAAGTCACGTGACCGGGTGACTGTTTTATCTTCAGCGCTACCGGCGGTAATGTACAATTTGTTAAAATGTTAGCTAATTAAATATTAATTAATAATTATTGTTTATTTTGTTATTTACTTACAATATTCGATAGTTAATGTACATACAGCAATAAGGTAAGTAAATGACAAGTAAAAAAAAAATAGTCCTCTAGAAGCGCTAGCACCAGCATCAAGATTTAAATCCTATGCCGTCCTATCATAGCTCGTTGGGCAATTATACTATCTTAAATCGTGCACGAAACTAATCACACCGAAGTTGTATATCGTATATGGTACGTTAGTATTGACCAGTAAGGTTGTAAGTTTTGCAAAAAAACATTATAATTTGAAATGTGTTTTGGCTAAAATTCAGTCACCCTAGAAATAATAACATAATGACAAAAATGTGTAAGATAGTAATTAATGACTATCTTAAGAAAAAAATGCTGATCCATATGGTGTCTTTCCCTCAATATCGTTTTTTCGTTTACAGTAATTTATCATGGAATTAAAGTTTAATCCTTATATATATTATATTAGCTTTCAAAACCCGATAAAGCATCAAATCGATTTCCTCAGATTTTTAAATTTTAAGTTTGGACATTAGGTAATTAAAATATTTACAACATAATAGTAATAGCAATATAATATAAAAGTGAGAACGTACGAAATAAATTTGTTTTGAATAAAAATTAGTGAAACTGTCAGGGATAAATTTGGATTATTTATAATTTTAATGATGATGTATCCCTCATTTTAGCTTAATCGTTCTGGGTCAAGTTTTTGTACATACTGAATAAACCGCACACACTTTTACTGACATATATTATAATATATTTATATATTACATATTACATACACATGACATACCCGACCCTTTACGGCAAAGAGGCGACAAGTCACCGACTGGGGAAAATATGTCTTTCCACATTTATACGACACACCGTATGGACCTAAGTTGGTTGAATTGGTTGAAGTTTTTTGGTTATCATCACGTTCGCGTCGATAATGAATAATATGATATATATACATATATATAGAACTGCAGTATTTAACATATAATTTCCATAAAATCAACGGATTAATGAATATAATATAGGAATAGAATTTTATCTTAATAATTTAATATGCTTTTTTATTGACGAGATGTAAATGTGTAATTAAGTATTAAATGCAACGCAGAAAACAATGAAGTATAGCAACAGGTGATGTTTTTTAGATACGGAATTTACTATGACATAGTTCGAAAAAAAATGAAAAAGGAATTTGGAAAGCTTTAATCAAATTTAATTTTGTGCCGTTTTATTGTTAAATATTATTTTACCTAAATACCAAACGTTCAATATTTGTGTTTCAAAGTAGACAGATAGCTCTTTTAGGTGTAAATATTTTATTTATTCTTTGATTTGATTTTACTTATTTTTAGCAAAAATGCAAAACAATAGCGAAATTTACAAATAAAATCAAACGGGTATTGCATCATTTTTTTGTTCTTAACAATGGTTGATAAGAACCTCAAAGGTTTATTTTTTTATGTACCACTGTGTTCAGAGTTTTCCTTAAAAATAAACAACTCTTATGATAAAAGATAATTTATAAAAAGTTTTGAGTTTTGAATAAATAGTATATACCAGGTGATCTATTTATTTAAGAGTCTACACTCATTATTTAGAAAAGTTTTAACTTTTTTTAAAATAATATATATTTTTATCGTAATAGTTTTTTATTTTTATTTTTTACTTTTTTGAATGACACAACACAATTTTAATTTCATATTCCAAAGCAAAATATTGTGTTTAAGTATATAGTGTTTCTAACCATAAAAATCAAATTCTGGACCATAAATTCATTATAATTATAGCTTATAAGTATTTGAAGTTTATATTAGCGGAGTAATGGACAACATTTTGGCATTTTGCGAAGTAGCCCACTCTACTCAACTCATCTAAACTTAAAATGCTTATAACTAATAAACTAACTGTCCAAAATTTGATTTTAATAATATATTGAAATACTCCGATGAATATTAGACTTCGGAACATACAATTAAAAATCCATGGTGTCATTCAAAAAATAAAAAATAAAATAGAAAAAAATATGATTTGTTTCAGAAATTGTGTTTTTAAACGACATCAAATTATGTAAAAAAAACATTTCAGAATAATGAGTGAATATATTTAAATGGATCATCCTGTATACTCATGGAAAGCCGTAGTATCATCTCTAAGCGCTTTGATCTATATTTGTTTATCAACCATGTTTGATTCTATAGAGAAAAAACGTTTACGTATATCACGAGTACCGATCAAGCTGTCTTAAACATTCGATACCACCTCGTTCAACACGACCACTTTAAAATTTCTCATAAACATTCTAATCTCGGTCTCTTCATCTTAATTGTTCGTTGCTAAATTATGGTAATGTTGGATACGGATAAAATTATAGATAAATTTATAATGCGTTTCAATTGAACTGATTGTTGGAGCGGTAATTACAATTTTTTTATAAAAACGACACGTTTTGTATGTTATCTTTAATAATGATAACTCTTTAATGATATATGGAAATGTATAGAAAAAAATATAAATATAATATAATATAGGTACCTATGTATGAATCAAAATAATATCTATAGTGCTAACATAACTAATTTTACGACCGTCTGAATTGTACGTGGTGCGAGTATGAGTGTGTTCAGAGGGGGTGTTTTGCAAGTAAAGTTTGGTCCTGGGTACTCCATCAAAAGTAGTTACAAACATTCTAATGTGGTTATTAGTACCTATTGTTGAATGCGAGTTTAACGACTGTTTAATCTATATTATGGTTTTAATTTTAAAATAACATAACTCACCATAACACAGTGTAGGCATATCTCGCCTAATATTTGCCACAACAAGCCAGAAATTTAACAAATTAAAACGCTTTTATTTATCTGATTGTGTTTAAGTTGTTTTAGTGTCGTAAAATACATGAAAATACGTAGGTAAATGTCTAAGCCCGAGTCCTTGTTGTGAATACGCTTAACATGTATATCGTGTACAGCGTACGTGTCTTGAGTTTAATGTACCATCGGTAGACAGTATAATATAGAACGTAGTTTTTTTTTAAAAGCCTAGATTGAGCTCAACTTGAAAATAATATTATATAATATTGGTTTAACGTTGTTTAACATAAAGTCCACTCCTCCACCTGAGTGGATACATATTTTTATTTTGTACTTTTAGGCTTCAAACATGATTATAAGACAGGGATGGGTGACAGGCGGCCCGAGTACCTTTTCTATGTACCACTTGCTACATTTTCAAATTAGGTACCTATACCTACCTACTTTATAACATTTTAAAGTTTATTAATTGTATTTATAAATTACGTGGTTCGTAGACAATAAGTTGGCACAATAATCTTATGGCAGTTGAAATTTATCAAGATTCTTCACTTTAATTACAATCACAAAACTTTAATTGTGAGTTACAAACAAATACATTTTTATCTACAAAAGAGATATTGACGTGTGCTTTTGGAAAAACCTACCAGTTGAAAAATATCCACTTTTACGATGTTTTCATTTTTGCATTAAAGATCTATGCTCCGGCACACTAGAGTTTAAAGTTATAAAAATTGGACTTCTAGTAACTATGAGTCAGTCCCTAACGGACAGTCCTTGTTATAAGATTGCAAAATACATATATATTTTATAAATAACCCCTCAGCTATAATTGTTGTGTAATAATATAATAAATAATAACTTCATGATTCGTATTAGTACAATAGGTACAATAATATTTACATTGATTTAAAAAGTGATTATATTTTTGAATGCACTATTCTATTCAGTTTTTCAATCAGTGCAACTAGTTAAACCGTTTACTTACCAGGCTTCCAAAAACTGGAGACGTAATGAATGCCACCAATTCGAAACTGCCGAAAACGAAGCCGTATTCTGTAGCTGTACATCCTTTTTTCTCCGCCTAAAACACACAACATATAATAATAATATAATAGCTGGCATTTATCAAAATAATGTGAACAATATCGTTGTATAGTACCTATATTTTGCCTATTTATTATAATACGGCTGTATAGCTTATTGTTACTAACATAAGTCTTTGTTCCTTATTGACGAAGTTATAAGTATATAAGTATATAATATATATGGTATAATATACATGTATATTATGTATATAATAATGTATAATATACATGTAATAGTACCTATTTAGTCACTTAGACACACTACACTCAACAATATAAGGTACCTGACTAGTTATTGACGTCGGATAATATGGACACGACCTTCGACAACAATTAAAGCGTCTATGGTCTATTTTATAACAATAATATCAAAAACAATTAAATAAATAATTAAACGAACCACATAGTTACATCATTTTCTATAAGTGAGGAAATTGTTCAAACACTCGCCAAAGCCAAAGCCAAATAGATATGTGGAATTAAGTGAGTGTACGACACACATCGCGATAAACGGGAATAAACATTTTTAAATCATTAGGTACTAGTAAAATATAAATAACATGAAAGATAATATTGCAGTGAATTATTATGTTTATGAGTTATGGTGGGTATGATTGTTCAACGTATCCGCATTTGCATGCAAATAGTGATGCTGTTTAATATAATAATACGATATGATCATTATTACACCTACCCTATATATTACATTATATTATACACGGGTAGAGGTAATATCTATCCTGACAGGTATATTGTCATTATGATTATCAATCGCTTTTGAGAGATTAAAGCAATTTTGTGAAAACACACGTGTCCAAATTGTATATCTTAAAAACTTTAATTGAAATCATTCAACGTTTCTAGATAGTAGATAGTCTATTTAAATACAAGGTATATGGTATACTACATGGAATGCGATTAGTTATTATTATATTTTTTATTGCACTTGAGCCCGGCTGCAACTAGGTATGGTGATTAAAGCTATTTTAGGGATTACGGTTGGTAGGGTTAAAACGGTTTGTTAGGTTGGTACCACGGTTGAAACTTGGAACGGTAGGTTAGCAACGCGTCGTGCATGTGTGACAAGCACGAACTGAGATACACTGTTGGTGCGGTAAACATTTCCATGTTTTTCGGAGGTTCAGACTTCAGATCATAGGTAAACAAGACCCCAATCAGCTGATCGAGTGTCACTTCTATATTGTCCTATGACTGTATCTTAGTTCGTGGTGGCCACTTGCAAGGTTTTTGCCAGTACGGACCCTGGTGGTCACCCATCCGGGAACTAGTGGCAGCCGACATTACTCACTCTCAATCACTTTGCGTGACTGATATCAGCCAAGCCAAGCCAAGCTACATGCAAATTTATTATTGTACGATAATTTATCATGATGATTCAACAACGTGAGTGAAAATACTGATATGTTTAATGTGCAAAACTAAAATGCGTATGTACCTACATATTATTATTATTATAGCAATATAATATAATTATTAAGTTATTATAGCACTGCAGTTAATTATTAAAATGTGCATCAGCCATCAATGAATGTGTTACAATATTATTAACGTGTATAGATGTGTGCACATTAAATTTTCAATATGTTTTGTCCAATTAACGTTAAATTTACAATATTTGGAAGTTTAAATTAAAAATAATTAAATTACCGCCGTAAAGTACCTATTTACTGATAAAAACAGATTTCATGTTAAAATACGATTAATTTGTTCTGTACAAAATACTAGGTATGTACCAATGTACACGAAAACGTTATCGAAGTCTTATCAAACGATGGAATTTCTATCTTATCGATTTTACCATAACTTTGAGCAAACCATCGATAGACGACTTGAAATTGATTTATTAACAACTAAATAAGTACCTACCTGTGATATAATATTTTTCTATACGCTTCGAAATTTACGAAATTAATAATTATTATTATCCACTCTTCTATTCATAATATATTGTACAAACATTTCGTGTGCTCAAAAATTTGCAATATAAAAAAGTGTAATCAAATAACCGAAATAAATTGTATGCTCCTCGAAAATGTTATTAGCGAAATGTGTGTTGATCTTGACGTGTCTTGACGAAACAAGTTTAAAATTAATATCATCAAATATTATTATAAAATGCAGTTAGATTATGGAATTATAATTTACACACTTTTTATAAAAAATTCGGTATACATACAGCTAGTACTCATTCTTAATTTATTTTTAGAAAATTAAACTAATTATAATTATTAAAAATGTAAATGCAATTATCACGTTAATATTTGATTAAAAATGCATTTTATTTAGTTCATACTATAAATACTAGGAAGGTACGTTATGGTTTAATTTAATCTATAATATACAAATATTTCGATTAAAAGCGAGTACATTATTATTTAAAGAAAAAGTGAATTACTAATTACAGAGTTGGTAGTTTAATTTTATACTTATTCGAATGCATATTTTATAAGTTAGTTATTCAAATTAATCAGTAGGTATGTAATACTTTAATTTAGTTTTACATCATAATGTAATCAAATAGATCTGAGTTTATAAAAATTTATAAAAATCAAACCAATGGTATCTCAATTCTCAAGTACTTAAACCTACTACATATTATCAATATTTAATAAATAACTTATAGGTTCATGGTAATCATAAATAAACAATTTGAATCGAGATCGTCTTAAAATGGTAATTATTTAAGTCTTTGCATTATGAGAACTCAAATAGATTGTTAAATTAATAGATTATTTTTTATAAACGATTAATTAACTGCAAAACAATTAGACACAATTTATTGATATGATAATGACAATGATTATTGAACGTAACTTCAAAAAATGTTAAGCTCCCGGAATGACTCAGAATCAGTTTTTTTACTAACGATACAATTTAAAAACGATAAAAATTAAACTAGAATGAAATTGTCGTCCTTACTCCCAATACGTTGAGTATGCGTATCGTCGGGCGTCGCAAGGACGACATTATTTTGTATATTTTTTTTAATAGAAAATGCGTTTACGACCGTCGAGAACAATGTGAATTCACATATTGTGTACCTAATCGAACGCGGAACAGCGTTTAATATTATGACATACCATTTTATAAGTATAATCAACTGACGTTTTTGTTTATTTTTATCCGGCGTTCAAAGTTACAAACAAGAATCACAGGTGTTTATTATAAAACCATTATGTCGCAATAATTCATCTATAATACAATTATAATACCTAACTCTACTTACAGTAATCCGCAGTAGTATCACATTTAAAAATATTATTATTATTAAAAAAAATGGAACATGTGATGTCGATATTGAAGACCACGTGTAGTTACGAATATAAATTATAGTGGCTTATACCAGTATAAATCAGTGTACGATATGGATATATATTATAAACTATAACATTAAGAGAAAAAAAATCAGACACTCTATGTATAACAGAAAACTCATGTTTAAACTTAAAAATTATCTCTTTACTTAAATTATTTGTTGTTAAGCACATTAATTATAATTTATAGGTATTTACCTATAAGCTATTTTATTATGAATCATTCAATCAGAGCTCGTTGAAAAAAAACAAATTATACAAATCTAGACAATGTTGTTACGATCTTATTAGAAGGAAAAATAATTTATGTTTTATCTTGTTTATAATAGAAAATATAAAATTACCAATATAACTAATTAATCTTTTATAATATTTTAAATTTCTTTAATTTTCAAAAATTATAAAAAACACATAAGTACCTACATCTGTTTTTTTTTATATCCATCAATATGTTGTGTTTTTATTATTGTATCAATGAAATTAACTAAATTCATTTAATTAATGTTTACCGCACGACTATTATCTATCCAATTACTACTAGAAATTATTTTCACGCTCCTATAATTGATTCCAATAAGTGTTCGTATAATATTATTATTCGAACTAAAAAAAATCTCAACAGCTTTTTAGTTTCCGCAGAAGACTTGGCAACTATAATCGTATTATAGAAAAGAGAGATTACCCTCTGAGCCCCCGAGTATTTAGAACAATAAATATTATTACAATACAATAATATTATGTGAGAATAAAGCTTGCAAGGTGTAAGTTGTCTTAAGTGTCATTATTTTATATAAAGTTGTGAGGTATAAATCATCGGCTTTGATCGAATCGTCGGCTCTAATTATGGAAACCAAATCATACGAAAACGAAATTTACGTCTACAATTTCACATCAAGAACAAACCGTTCTTTATCGTTATTTTGAGGTTAATCACGTCCATTGTTGTTATCGGATAACCCTCGTGTACCTATAATTTACAACAACAGGTAGATAATAAATAATAGAATATTATATTATAGCCTAAGATTAAATAATATCTATTCTAATATCCTAATATGGGCGTAGTCCGTTTGGGCTAATCGGCCTTAAATCGATAGGTACCATTTAAGCGAATTTTCGTATACCGTTTGGTTATGTACAATGTGGGTGAGAATAACCGTTTTAGCGACAGAATTGTCCTTCTAATTTGAACAAACTTAGGACTATCAGTATTTGAAATTTGAATTTGACACTTTAATGAAAAATTGATTCAAGGTTTTTACTTATTGTCATTACTTAATCAATTTTATATCCATTATTAAATTAAATTGAAATACCTAAAACGATATAAAACACTGTGCCTACCTATAACACGATAACCACAATTAAACACCTATTAGCCTATTAGAATACACCAGCTGTAGCAAGGTGTTGAACACGTGAAAGCACAGTAAAATAATTTAGTTTCGTTCGATAACGTATAGTTTGTTGTACTAGCCCAAACAGTCTATTTAATTCTCGCGCTGAAGCAGTATTATTATATTCGAATCTCGCTTCAAAAGTGTGTGTCTATTTACAGGTAAAAAAGGTTAGGAATCTCCCGACCAGCGACTCCTGATATCTATTCCTTCACGATAATGTATATGAAGCGTATATCAACGTCGTTTGGATTAATCGCATATGTAACTACCGTGGGATAAGTGCTGGTGTGATTACCAGCGTTTTTTTTTGCAGGGAATCGTAAGTACCACGGGTTATGGATAAGTTATGGATAAGTTTTGGGCCTCCCCCCACCATAATGAAAGCAATTCAATCATTTAGTGTTCTTTAAATTGAAAAAAGGACATACAAAAAAAATCCAAGGGGGGTGAGCTCCCCCTACAAACCACCACTGGTAAGCGGGTGGTAACTGTGTGATTTTTGGTGCTGTAGTGCGGTTGTACTCACTTCTTCGGGGTAGAAAGGCGCCTGCAACGATATACAAATGGCGCAACAAAAGTGCACGGACCCGACCACGGCCAATATTATCCATTCGGAGAGCGTGAACTTCATAGTGACGGCGTCCACGTGTTCTCAGGGCTCGGAGCAGGTGGTCGTTCCGGTCGGTGTGCGATGATCTATGACGTGCGGCGACGATGGACCACCAAAAATCGTTTCGTTTCGATAATAACAATATTATAATATTTTCTCGGCAGTGACGATGTCGGTGCGTGCCGGTTGCAGCGGATGGATCGCTGGAAACGACGAATCGATTTGTGAAAAATAGAAAAACAAAAACACACACGCACGGGCCCGCGAAAGGTTTAAAGTTTAAAATATTATGTGATTATCGTATACGACAATAATATTAATATCGTCCGAGTCCGAGTCGCGCTCGTCGTACGATATTATAATTTTATATTATTTCCGATGGGTAACCGATTATCGTTGTAATTATCATCGACTAATATTAATACCTATGTAATATAAAGGATATAGTAATTATTTGCACCGCTCACGCACACCGCGGACTGGACGTGTACGATGTGAGTGGTGACTGTATATTATAATGTACAGACTTGTCGTCAATTTTAATTCGAAAATAAAAAAACAATTTTACAGTAACGTACTACGCCGTGTTCGACGCGCGGGCGAGTGTCGACGCGCTCCACAAACCGGGTGTACTAGTCGCGTCCGTCCGAAACTCGATGTCCGCACACGCACGTACACACACACACACACACACGCACTGTGATCGAGAAAACCCGCAGACGGTTACCGATTAGCGATGCGGTAATTCAACAGGTGTAGTCGTAGTAGAGATCTATAAATTGTACTATACTGTACGATTTGTACCTATCGCATTCGTGTTGTCTGTACAATATTACAATAATATAATTACTCTGTTATCACTATATTATATTATTACTATTCGTTCAGAGAGATTATCATAATATTGTACTATTGTAATAATAAATAAAAACGTGTACACTAAAATTGAATATATATGTACCTATATAATAATAATATAATAATATTATTGTGAAAGATAACGACACCGCTGCGCGTGTGCGTGAGCGCTCGTGTTCGGTTCAGTGTGCGTCCGGGTCCGGCGTCCGACCGTCGACGGCGATTTCTCGGTACCTATTGGACGATTTTTTAAGGATACCGACGAAGATTTGTAGACGACGACGACGACGACAACGACGGTGATAATAATAATATTGACACATACTGTGGTATCAACTACGATGAATACCCCTCCCCCCCGCGGCCTCTTTCACACTTGGCGAGGAGTGCTTTCTCACTCGAGTTATCACGAAATAATAATATTATAGTATCTGCAGGTGTGTCTGAATACTAAACCGCCTAGTTATTACTTATTTATATATAGTACTGGCTATTAATGACTACCTGTCACCGTCCGGCTACCAAAGTAACAATAATTGGGACTACCAGTTGCACTCAAAGTTACCTTTTGGCTTTTTTTTATACCAATTCTCATCTAACCACCTAGAGAAAATTTCACCAGTTGCCCTCAATCTAATGTACCAGTTGCCCTCAACATATTATATATACGATTACAAAACTACACCTGGCGTAAAATAGGGGATGTAATATGTAAAAAATAAATTTTAAAAATGCATATACCTACAAAAGAATAAATTCAGTATTTATAGTAATAAGCAGTATACAATGAAATTTGTCCAAAAAAAAAAAAAAAAGTTAAAATGTTTAATTTATAAATTATGTTTGTTGTGATAAATACTGATAATGAATAACTAATTAGGTATTAAAATTATTTTATTCTGTAATCAGTATTGTAATCGAGTATTCGGGTATATAATAATATGTTAGGGCAATATTGATATTTCGTACATTTTTTAAATTCTGAAAACAGTGGCTAAGGACAACTGGTCATCGCTCAGATAAAATTATTTTACATAATATGGGCTGCGATCACATACTTTGATATATTTGAGTTCCTATTCAAACATTTAGAATAACTTTTATTTATGAACAAAAAGTAATATAATGGGAAAATTATTTATACCTGGACGTTCGGTTTTTATTAATTTATACTTAAATTGGCTGATTCTTACCCAGGGGCCAAGGCCGTCGCTAGGGCAGAGAGATCGGGGCTCTCACCCTGGGCCCCGTGCCTTCACCAGTGTTGGACAGGCCCCGCTTTTGTAGATACAATAAAAAAGTCAAGTTAATGAGAAAAAAAAATTATTATTTATATATTTTTATACCTTCAATTGCTGTAATTTTTACTAGCTATACGGGTATATCTATATACCTACCTACTTATATTAATTTACATCAGTCGTCAAATAAATGTATTGCTTTTTAAACGAGTTAATATGATTAAAATTCAATTTTCAAAGTTGAAAATGATAAAAATCTTCAAAGTGCTCAGTGCCAAAAAAAAACCACCAACTTAGCTATAATATTGCTTAGATTTTAAGCGGAGCGAAAAAATGTATTGATTTTACAATGATGTGTGTTTTTTCTGTTTTGTATGGCGCATTTTGGGTAGTAAAAGTGCTCCGATTTTCTAGATCAGCATCTTTACTGATAGAAATGTTAAACAAGTTGGTATTTATGGGAAGTCAAAATTAAAAATTTCAAGTAGTTTTAGAAAGCATTAAGAAAAACAAAAAAAATAGGTGACTTTTATAGAAAACCAATTTTTGAAAAAAATCGATTTTATTTTCTTGGTGTCTCTCAAAAATCATAACTGTGGAACCTTGAAATTTTCAACAAATATTTATATGGGAATTTTCCATAAATCATTTTCTCAATATTTTTAATATTTTTGAGCTAGTTATAGGCTTGAGCCCTTGAGAAATTTTTCCATTTTTCTACATTTTTTTTTAAAATTATCGTCGATAAATTCTTTTTCATTTAGTAAAAAAATCTTGAAAATGTAATGATAGGTTCCTTATAATTTTCATTAATGGAAGTTTAAAAATACATAGGCTCAATTATTTGTTATAACTTATAATGCTTATAAAGTTAAAATTTAGACGAAATTCATAGAAGTTTTTCTTTACATAGCTATAACATAAGAAATTTTAATATAAGGTTCCCAACAAGTTTTTGTACCTCTATCAAACTAAAAAAGTTCCCCGGAAAGTCACGTTTTCGATCTTTGTTAATTTTTTTTTAAGTACTAAATTTGATTATTTATACAAGTTTGCTAGGCTGATTCAATAACGTCTCCACTCATAACATTATTTCTTTAACAATAATTTATCAATGTAATTTAAATATAACACATCAACTGTACAGCAGAGCGGTACCCACTTGTCCACCTTTTTTCATATTGTATTAGGTGCCTACTATAATTATAGACTAATTAATTTATCAATATTATTATATTAAGTATAAATATATTACGTATTTTGTTATTAATTAATTAATTTATTCATATTATTTTAAGTAAAATGTACTATATTTTTAAGTATATTTGAGCGTAGCCCCCTTATACCTAGGTATATATCATAATATTAAATATTTAAATATATGCAACTGCCAACTGACGATGATGACATTTTAGGCCCCGCAAATTTACTCTGCCCTGGGCCCCGCAAATCGTCAGTGCGGCCCTGTTTTTACACTTAACAAATGAAATGTTCATAGTCCATAGATGAACTCCTTCTTAAACTCCGTTAAACGAGAACTAGTGATGATAAAAACAAGACTTTCAAAATCATGGTCTTGCAGACTCCGTCTTGGTCTTGGTCTTGGGTAGGTATACACCTTAATATCGGTCTTGGTCTTGGTCTTGCGCAAGACTCTTGCTTTTTCACAATATATATAAAAAAAAAAAACTAAATACCTGTTATAGCTGTGTGTAGGTTTTTTGCTGTGATCTCTAAGATAAAACGTAAGTCCAATATATTATATAGTATATTAATAATTCAAACATTAACATAAAACCAATCAAACAATTACATTTTTACTATACTCCTTTAAAACTTTGCATTTTAAATTAGGCTTATATTATTTTACTTGTATTTGTATTTGATGAATCAATTTACCAGCATAATTAACTTTGTAAGTATCTATTACATTTATTACATTTATAATAAATATCAATAGGTTATTAGTTATTACTAATTACTAATTATTGAGTATTGACCAATAAAATGTTTATAAAAATTAAATTATTCTCTAAAAAAAAGTATTTTTTTAGAATATAAACCACTTTACAATTTACCTCTAAATTCTAATATATAGTATTTAGTAGCTGTTACTCAATTGTTTATTTATATAGAATAGCTTTATTGGCCTAAATAACAAAATATAATACAACCAGCTGTCTACGTGCACTTCGTTGTCTGTAAAAAATGCAACCTAATTTTTAAAATAAACTCGTACTTATTTATTTTGTTTTAAAATATAATTTCTTCATTCAAAGCCATAAACTAGAGGATTTTATACATACTAAATCCCCACAGAGGTAGGGGGGTTATCGAAGGCTAAAATTGGTACGAAAACCTACAAAGGGTTATCAAGAATAACTGTGCAAAAAAATTAGAAAAATCAGTTCAGCAGTTTTCTCGCTTAGCGTGGACAAACTAAAAACAACTTACTACTTTATATTATAATTTAATTCTGAAGAAGTAATAGTTTACAACAATATAATAATAATAAATAATCCTCGATTAACACAATTTAAATTTAAATCATGAAGGATGGGTCGAGGGGTACGAGAATGAAATTTGATGACTGATGATCATAATATCATATTGAAGTACCTATTAAACATCAAATGTAAAAAAATATTCGAATAATTTTTTAAGCGCATTTTATTTGAACAAACATTTAGAAAATATCTATGATAAAGTTTGGTAGTTGAATGTGCATTCCGAATACCTTTTTCTTCAGTCATTCCAAATGTATATCCTGGGTACAGAAAATATTAGTCTTTATTATACTACACTGTCCGTACCTACTCTATATAATATGTTTATAGTTTATATAGGTACCATGTACCTATTATACCACTTACAAGACTGAACTTGCACGATTTCCCACCGAACAGTCACTGCAACACTGCA